CTTATATATCTTAACTAGACGCTTCCTCCTTTCGCCGGCCAGACTCCTATGGGCCAGGTAAGTTTTTAGTGGGGATAAAGCGATGAATAAATACCAAACAGGAGCTAAAAATTCAATAAACAAAAAAAGATTAGTGCCATGCTGACAATAAATGTTCTTATAATAGAGGCTGAATGATAAATACATGTATTTCTGATAAAATAATACATTTGTCCGTGCTGCTCTAGACAGTCTCATTCTTAATTTTGTAAGCAACACAGAGGCCAATTTGGCAATTAAGGGATGTTCTATTCGCTCTGTGGACTGTCGATGGATTTGCCCAGCTGACTGACGTCATCGCTGAGCGAGCCGTGTTCGGTTTGTCCTCGTACGAAGTTCCGCGACGTGACGAGAGACGATTTAACAGTAACAGTGTTGTGAGCCGGCGTGATAAACAAACGCGACAAAACAGCAGTGAATCCCACTTGTCTATTTGAACGCCTTCAAATCGGCAAGGTGCTTTTTTACTGTTGATACATGTTTGTTTGGATTTACTTAAAACTGAATGAAAATCATCATCAGCAATAAATCTCTTGTCAACAGTCCAGTTGACAAAAATTTGACCGGCCCAGTTAACAAACCGCTCCTGCTAATGTATTTCAAGAAATTAATGTATTATTTTGTGTCATCTGTTTCTTTTTGTCTTGTTTTGTTTATCTGTTATTTCGTTTGTTTGCTTGTGTATTTGTTTATTTGACTGCTCTTTGTTTGTTGTTTGTTTGTCTGTTTGTTTGTTTGTTTTTTTGGGGGGATTACGAACAGGATACATAATGCTGTCGTCATATCCGGACTTAAGCCGAAAACAATTTTTGTTAGTGTTTGATAAAAACTGTTCGCAATATGAAACTGCCTTCGTCATTCATCAATTAGTCTGGAAAAAGGATAGGCGTCTGTTTAATGCTAAAATGTATTAGCCTGTGTTTGTCAGTGTGTGTTTGTGTGCGTGTTTCTTTGAAAGTGTGTGTGTGTGTGTCTTGTTGTGTGAGTGTGGTTGTGTGTGAGTGTTTGTATGTGTCTTGGTGTGTTTGTCTGTAAGTATGTGTGTGTATGTGTATGTGTGTGTGTGTGTTGGTGGGTGGGGATGGGGTGTTTGTTTTTGTGTTTATTTGTGAAACGTAGAGAGAGAGATAGACGGATGGATAGGAAGATAGATAGATGGATAGATAGATAGATAGATAGATAGATAGATAGATAGATAGATAGATAGATAGATAGAAAGATAGATAGATAGATAGATAGATAGATAGATAGATAGGTAGATAAATAGATAGATGGATGGATAGATAGATAGAGAGATAGGTTGATAGATAAAATAGATAGGTAGATAGAGAGAGAGACAGTGAGAGATATATATTGCATTGAGATACTAACTGAACTTTGTAATTTTCCTAATATGTTGACAGAGAATGAATACAAAAATTAATACATGTAATATAGATAATTATAAGACAGAGGCGTGGAGACCAGTTGGCAAAGATAATCAGCTATGTGAACTGAAACAGACAGACAGACAGACAGACAGACAAACAGACATATGGTTTAAGGAGGAAGGGGATGGGAGAGTGAGAAAGAAAAAGTGAAACAGAGAGACAGTCAAACAGCCAGCCAGCCAGCCAGCCAGACAGACAAACAGACAGACAGACAAACAAACAGAGCTGTTGTCTGACTAGATGGGCGTATGTGTGTGAGGGGGGGGGAATGAATGATGTAAAGACACAGTACACGTGATAACTATAATAAGGGTGAGAGAGAGAAAGAGAGAAAGAGAGAGAGAGAGAGAGAGAGAGAGAGAGAGAGAGAGAGAGAGAGAGAGAGAGAGAGCGTGTGTGTGTCTGAATGATGATACAAAAGAATGCGTCGTGGCCTATACGTTCTTATACTAACCTCTGACCGTCTAGGTCGTGGCTCATGCATAACTTGTCTGAGCTTCGCTCCCATAATCTCCTTTTTTTCTCACATTACATACATTGTATCAGTAACAATAGATAGCATTTAAATCCCCGCTCAACAGCAAGCTCTAGGGGCTTCACAATCTATACTATTACCCCAGCAGACCAGGAAGCATTCTGAAATAGCCTCAACTTCCTGGGGAGCATACAGTACAAGCAGCCATTTATAGGCGATAAAACACTAACATACTGACAAGATCTTTCACTGTCTACGTCTGCCTATATTCTTAGGTAAGCCTACATTAAGTATTAAGGCGGACAGCAATCGATGCCAGGCCCACCTAGGCCCCGAGTGATTGTATCATCCCTAATTTTGCCTCTGTAGCGTCCTGTTGGTTTACCTCTTTTTCTTTTTCCAGTTGGTCTTCAATACATTCTCTCACCTGCCGTGGTTATTTTTTAAATCTCTCTCAAGTGAATCCCCATTAGGGGATCGGGTCTGATCAGGGCGGCTTACTGGCCAGATTGAGGGTGCAAAGCAGCTATCGTGGCACGAGCCGATTGCTCCCGACTCGCCGACTCAAAAACAAACGTCAGTCTGTCTGTCTGTCTGTCTGTCTGTCTGTCTGTCTGTCTGTCTGTCTGTCTGTCGGTCTGTCGGTCTGTCGGTCTGTCTGTCTGTCTCCAACAGTTGTTAATACGTAGAGTCTATATAGTACCCTTGCAACATTAAAATTGAGTTTACATTTATTTTAAAACAGCCTACAAAGGGAAGGAATGAAACCCTGCTAAAACATCATCATAATATCAAACACAGTTGAAAAACCAACCAAACACTTTAAAATCATGACCTGCAGAAATGCTCGGACAAGAGAGGCCCAAACAAGTTACGCGTCCTAGAAATAAATGGATAGAAGAGACACACAGGTGGCATCCTTATGACATTGCCGGGTCAACAACACCAGCAACAGTGGTGACGTGGTGAAGCTGTCAGGTCGCCCACGCAATTCCCGAGTTCAATTCCTGAGCGTTGAGTGAGGAGAAATTTTATTGAGGATCCCAAATGTTTCTACTTCTACTGGGACTTTGCATCCCTCTGTCAGCCTGGTTGTTGAAGCTCGCCTCCTTAATATATCTAATCTAAATTGTGACGACGGTGTGTGTGTGTGTGTGTGTG